TCTTCCCTGCTGTTATTAGACTGCTGATTGGACTTCTCTAATTTCAAATAATGTTGATCTTCCTTCTGTGCACCCATAGCCTTGTATGTCTTGTTCTGTCTAAATGATCTGTATGTCCTTGTATGTTATGATCTGCCTGTACTGCACACAAAGCTTTTCACTGTACTTAGGTACATGTGACGACAATAAATCAAATCAATTCAGAAGCCTCAGAGGATGCCCTGGCAAGGCTGCTTTGTGCAGCCCTGACCAGCTCAGATACTAACACCTCAGCGGGAAAGTTATCTAGATTAGAATCAGTAGCACCTGCTGGTGAGCACATCATGTGTCTGCAGCTGGCCAAGGAAGAAATATCCCAGGTCACCAGTACTCAGAGAGCTGCAGAACCTAGGTACCTGCTCAGCCCCAAGCAGGAGAGGACCTGATGGTGTTAGCAATTTGTGACTTCATTGATAAGTACAGGCAGACATAGGTTTGTCAAAGGCAGTGGCCAACTTGACAGAAAGATTGCAGGATTGCAGCAATGTAGTAGGAACCCAGCTGCCTCAAGCATGTGATCATCTAGCTGCCTCCATTATCAGGTTAGCAGCTGCCATGGAGAGCCAGGTCCAGAAGTTTCAGAGTCTGCTAGATGTGTGCACAGACCTGCACTCCATCACTCCAGCCACACATGCTCCATACCAATGGCAAAGCTACTTTGGCACAAGGATCATGAGTTCACTTCAGGTGTACCTTCCCCACAAGGAGGCAGGGCAATGCCAGTAGACACCCAATCAGAGGTGGAACTACACACAGGCCCCAGAAGGTTTGCGTCAGAATACTCAGAGATGCCTGGACCTTCCATAGCAACCCTGCCTGCCACCTCAGCTCTGAGGTAGTTCAAATCAAGGGATGCTCCACCTTCCTCTGGGCAGGACACAGTATGCATTTTTGGGCAATCTAGCCACAAAACGTTCTCCCCCCTTCCTCAGCCCAAGGTCACTTGATAAACCTCCAAAGCCATTGGACTCCACTGTACAGCAGGTTCCCTCCACCCAGCTGCAGAATTCCAGACTACACTGAGATGTAGTGAGAGAGAAAGAAAGAACAAGATCTTCTGATGCCACACAGGTGACAGTCAATTTAAATATATCATCACATTTATAAACATATGTTCACTTTTCTTCATCAATTGTGTAAGCAAATGTCTGTTCAGCCCCAGCTACAACATTGAAGGTACAAAGCCTAACCATCCTGAGTACTACACAGTGTTAGATAATCCAAGGGATGAAGTAAGCAGCTCCTGTACCTTGAGAAGGGTGTGTGAAAATGGCAGATGATTACTACTTTAGCACCTGAGGTTGATCTTCCCAGGCAGCAACACATTGCTTGTGGAACACAGCCATTATTTTGATTGATTCATAATGTTGCCAAGCGTGCTTTGGGCCAAGATTTGGACTACATACAGTAGATTAATGCCTAAGGATCACTGTAGCATGTAGCGCTTCCTGGTGTGTTTCACTTTTAATATATTGGTGGCTGTGTAATGGTGTTGCCCTTTTACAATTCCCCAACTGTGTTCCTGCATATCTCCAGATTGATCGTACTTGACAAGAAGGCTGACCATGGTCCACTACCCAGACTTGTACAGACTCGTACTGACCACCCCAACTGGCCTATTGTGCCAAAGCTCCTGGACTGATAGAGGCTGCCTTGACTTACTGTGCCAGGACTCTCTGCCTGAATGGTGTCTCCCTGGATTTAACTCACCTGTGACTTTGAGACATGGCCTTTTGCCTGAAGCCTCTGTAATATCTTTGATGAGTACAGAGCTGGCTTATGGTGCATGTGCACCACTAACATAACATGGTGCCGTACAGCAATGCAAGAATCAGTGCTGAGTCCACTGCTTTTTATCATTTATATAAATGATTTGGATGTGAATATAGGAGGTACGGTCACTAAGTTTGCAGACGACACTAAAATTAGAGACAGTGGGCAGCGAAGAAGGTTACCACAGAATACAATAGATGGGCAAATGGGCCGAGGAGTGGCAGAGAGAATTTAATTTAAATAAATGTGAGGTGCTGCATTTTGGAAAGGCAAATCAGGGCAGGGCTTATACACTTAATGGTAAGGTCCTGGGGAGTGTTGCCATAAAAAAGACCTTGTGGTGCAGGTTCATATTTCCTTGAAAGTGGGGTCGCACTTAGACAGTCTAGTGAAGAAGGTGTTGATACACTTGCATTTATCAGCCACTGCATTGAGTGTAGGAGTTGGGAGGTCATGTTGAGGGAGTATAGGGCATTGGTTTAGCCATTTTTGGAATTCTGCATTCAGTTCTGGTCCCCCTGCTATAGGAAAGATGATGTGAAACTTGAAAGATTCAGAAACGAGTTACAAGAATTATAGCAGGGTCAGAGGGTTTAAGCTATCAGGAGAGGCCGAACTGGCTGGAGCTATTTTCCCTGAAGCATCAGCGGCTCAGGGGTGACCTTACGGAGGTATATAAGATCATGAGGGGTGTGGATAGTGTGAATACCCAAGGTCTTTTCCCCAGGGTAAGGGAGTTCAAAACTAGACGGCATAGGTTTAAGGTGAGAGGGGAACGATTTAAAAGTGACCCAAGGGGCAACTCCTTTTCCACACAGAGAGTGGTGCATGTATGGAATGAGCTGCCAGAGGAAGTGGTGGAGGCTCGTACAATTACATCATTTAAAAGTCATCTGGATGGATACAATGAATAGGAAGGGTTTAGAGAGATATGGGCCAAATGATGGGAAATGGGACTAGATTAATTTAGGTTATCCTGTCGGCATGGACGAGTTGGACTGAAGGGCCTGTTTCCATGCTGTACAACCCTATGACTCTAACATGCCCACCTTGTTGACTGATGACTGCTAACAACTATGACAAGCTGCCTGGTTTTGTGTTTGCACTAAAAGTTAAGTCAAGACAAAAGTATTGTGAGTCTTTAAGGTCCTGCAGAGGGGACAACGCACCAATTGGCAAGGTAAAGATAAGTCATGGCTGCTGTTAGCATTGACAGAGGCACAAGTGAGTGAGCACTAACCAGCGAGCTGAGTGTAACAGTCCTGAGGTGCACCCTGCTCCAAACCATGAGCTGGATGTTAATCCCTGTGTGCAAACTGTCCTTGTAGCAGCGTGATAATGAAAAGGTGCTGAAGTGCAGCACTGAAGTGCAGATCCGTGCTATAACTGATTAGTGATGTGGAGATATAGTGTAAAAGTTTGCTTTATGAAGGTTCCAGACCAGGAGTTTTTGGGTAGAAATTTGCAGATTATTACAAGACTGAGAAAATCTAAGCTTTTAGTTTTGAGTATTCAGGTAAGAATATGTTAAGGTACGCAGTGCAGAACTGGGGAGAAGCAGTTAAATCTTCTTTTAAGATATAAAAAGGTAATTTCTCTGGATTTGACTCACTATAGTGATGGTGTTGGTTTGCTGTACATCAAGATCTTTTAAATTTTTCTATTTAGATTTTTAAAAACATGTTTATTACACAAAAATTCTGCATCTGATGCCTGTGTTTCAGTGAACCAGCAGTTTAAAAATAATATATGTACGATCACGATGCAGTTAGTGCAGAGTGGATGCAACCAATGAGAACTGGAGACCTACTCTGGAACAACTGGTTCTGGCTTTGGCCTGAAAAGGTACCAGCTGCCAAGGCAATTATCCATGAAGGAGGAGCTGCCATGGACTAAATGCTCTGAGATAGCAAGAACCGCAGATGCTGGAGTCAGAGTCCAGTGTACAGCTGAATGAACAGGGCAGACAGCATCAGAAGAACAGGAAAGTTGACGTTTCGGGTTTATACCCTTCATCAGGACTGGGCTCTCTTTGTCCTGCTTGCGAAGACTGCAGGAACTGTGGTATCCATCTTTAATCATGTCCAGGCCCAATTTTATCTGAGACAGGTTTGCACTTTGGGAGTCTACCACAGAGTAAATTAGAAGAGGATTCTGCGAGAGCACATGATTTTGTTGAGCATGACTGAAGTTACAGGAATGTCTATCTGGCCCTAATAATTATCATTGTACCTTTTATATGATGAGATGAGATGATGTGGTGCCAGGGAAATAGAGATTCACTCAAATGTATCTGGGAAAAAGCGATGATACTCACTTTTGAAGAAAAATCCTCTATGTTTAGCTATTAAAATACTAGCTTAGTTCTGACTTCAGTAGTTTACCACAAGCAGCACAGATGAACAATGACAAGATTCTTCCGACATCATACTGAGGGCTCCTCTCTCATTCTAACCTTCCTCTGAAACTACATATTGAAACTCACCAACACCAAAATTGTGTTTATGTACTCCATCTAGGCCTTTTGTCATTCTCCAAGAGACAGTGATTGCTTTTCTCACTCACTGACTTATAGGAATTGGTTAGTTCCTATCAATGAGATAGCAAGAACTGCAGATTTTGGAGTCAGAGATAACAAAGTATGGAGCTGGAGGAACACGGCAAGCCAGGCAGCATCAGAGGAGCAGGAAAGTTGATGTCAACTTTCCGGTTCCTCTGATGCTGCCTGGCCTGCCGTGTTCCTCCAGCTCCACGCTGTTATCTGTGGTTAGTTCCTATGTTACTTATACACCTGCAAAAGAGGGCAGTGCAGGCCTGTGGGATGTAAGGCAGGCAGGAGGAACAAAATGGCAAAGCCATGATCATACCCACATAACAAAAAAGCCTTTCTTAAAATAACAAATTGCAAAAGCATTTTCAGATTTACCAGTATAACTTCTGTAGAGTTCTGGCACGTAAAAGATAAATTAGGCCACTAAAGATGCCACAAACCGCACACAACATTAGCTTATTTTTGAAAGAAAAACAAAATCATTTTTTATACCGAATCTTTGTTCTTGAAAGGCGGTTTTAACGAGACGGTTGAGTTGCCACGTCTGCAGAGGCTTCGTGTGTTAAGTATCTTTTAGAATTAAGAACGGAGACGGACAAAATTCGTAGAAAAGTTTCTGTTTGGAACGTAAACTCACTTTCTTCTGGTTACCGAAGTAAGTTAGCTCGTTTTGGTCTCTTCTCTCTGGAATGAAACTGAAGCCAGATAAAGCAGAAGGCGGCATGCTCTTGTTTATACGTTTACTTATTTCCGTCATGTCCCTTCGATTTATACCAGCGCTTGCACGGGGAAGTATGCACGCCCAGGGAATGCTGGCGTCCACTGGTTGCTATGTTACAAACACCCAGCTCTCAAGGGCCTGTTCAGGCTTCTTTTCAGCATGAATTACTTTCCAAGATGAATCATGACCAGGGTGTTATCCTCAACGCTAAACCCTGCCCACTCCCCTGCTCTCCCACCACCACCTGCTCCACTCCCTGTCTCACCTCTACCACCTGCTCAACTCCCTGTCTTCCCCCAGCACCTGCTGATCTTCCCACCACCACCTGCTCCACTCCCTGCCTCACTTCTACCACCTGCTCCTCTTCCTGCCGATCCACTCCCTATCTCCTCATTAACTGCTCCTCTCTCTTTCTTCCTACCACCTGCTAATCCACTCCCTGTCTTTCCTGCAACTGATGCTCCTCACCACATGTTTCTCCCCTCCACTGTCTCCCCACCACCTGCTCCTCTTCCCCGTCTCCCCTGTACCTGCTACTCCTCTCCCTGTCTCCCCACCACC